AAAGAACCAGAAAAAATGGAAATAACAAAGGGGGGGGGGAGAAAACCAAAGGCACCAAAATGTGTGTGAAAATCAGGGGATAAACTAAAGGCACCAAAATGTGTGTGAAAATCAGGGGATAAACTAAAGCAGTATGGTGCCAGAACAGATGGGCATGAAATGTGGTGGTGAGTTTAGAAATTTACAAGACTTTTGTGCTCTCAAATTTAGTTAGCTCTAGCTAAGAAATGCAGCAGTTATTCCACAGGTTAATAACACTCGTAATAGCAGTATTATATTCCCACTGGTACTTCACAGAAAAATAGTACATACTGCCACAAAAGGTGGGAATCTATGGAATCCAGCGGCCAGTCATTTATACTTAGTCTCTCTCTCTCTTTCTCTCACACACAGACACGGTAAAAACAATGCAATGCTTTGCTTAGTTCAGAAGCTCCACTTAGCCACTGATAAATTTCTTAACCATTAATTTTTCTAACCCCTTTTAAAGCCACTTAAACTAGTAACTGTCAGTTCTATATATCACAAATGTTGTGTGTAGTAACTTCTTTTGTCTGTCTTCAGCAGAAATGGGAGCTGCTTTCAATCAAGGAAATAATGAGTTAATACATTAAAAGTATTCCTCTGCATGGCTTCTGGTTTAAATAAGAGGGTTCCAGCATTTCCACAGTAAGCATGCACATCCACTCTTAAAGTGAAGAGCAATCAAAATTTAATATGAGCAGCAAAGCGTCAGCAGTCTTCAGTGGCATCTTCCTGAAATTTCCCCCACGGCCAAAATACTAAGTAATCAGGAAGACCTCTTCAGCAAAGAGCACTGTACGTACCCTTGCTGTTTTACGAACAAACATTCCACTTTCTCCGAAAAAGTAAGTACTGCTCTTCCCACTGAGTCAACAGACGTTAGAACAAACATCACCATAACAACCCACCAGGATATCAGGTTTCCTAGGTCCAACCCAGCTGCCTCCAGCTGAATATCTGCAACATGTAACCCAATGGAAGACAAGCAGTTCTGTGTGAAATGCACTTGAATGCTAAAAAATGAACAAACTTCTAAAGATGCCTTACTCACTGGATTTATCACTGATCAGATTGTCCTTATGTTGCAGCAGGTGCAAAAATGTGTGCTAATCAGTAATGGAATCACTCACAAATTCCTCCCTGAAAAGCTCCAGCTATGCTTAGAAGACTAAAACATTTCTAATAATGTACAATTCTTGAAATGCATAGAATAATCCAGAAGACTATTTACCTAACTCTTACTTGGGGGGGGGGTAAACAGATTAATGGAGAAGAGGTCCATCAATGGCTACTAGAGATTATGAGCAACGGGAACCTCCATATTTGTCCTACAGGGCAACTGGTTGGTTGCCACATGAGACAGGATGCTGGACTAGACAGAGCCCTGGTTTGATCCAGCAGGGCTTTTCTTACACAGGGTATCTAGAAGAGCTTGACTGAATTATATCAGAGGACCAATTAGTTTGCAGCAGCAGCCAATCAGATGCTACTGGGAAGCTCTAAAAGAAGACAAGTAAAAAATACTCTGATATGTACCCCCTTCCTGCAACTGGTGTTCAGGGTCGGCATAGAGATTCCATTTCATTATCATGCTTAATAGTTGTATATAGGTCTATCCCCTCATTCCATGACATTACCAAATCCCTTTGTAAAGCTAGTGGCCCTTACATCATGCTCCAGGTGCTGTGTGAAGTATTTCATTCTGTCCACTGCTACACTGCTTTCAAATTTGTTCAAGACACATTCTGTTTGCTGCATTCAGCCAGGAATATAAAGACAATGGTAGAAATTCTAAGACTGGCCAATACTACATTACTAGCAGCCAATATGTACCAACCTAGCCTTGGCCTTAAGCATGGGTCATTTCCTGCAGGAGTGCACAGGAGCGGAGCTCCGGCAGTAAAGAGCCCAGGGGGCGGGCACATGCAACAAGCCCCACCCCCTGCTCCCAGCAGCCCTCAGTCAGAGCAAGAAGCAGCCAGGTAAGTTCCAGAGCCCCCCCCCCGGCCCAAAACAGTCCAGTGGCACCTTTAAGACCAAGTTTTATTCAGGCAGAAGCCCCCCCTCCTCTGCAAGGACAGATCTGCACATTCCCCCCCCCCAATAGCTAGCAATCCAAAACAGTCCAGTGGAGCTTGAGCGGTTAGTGCTGCCTTCTGACACACTTCCAGTGATGTCAGGGGGTGTGGCATATGCAAATAAGTTATGGTAATGAGTAATGCGCTCCTGCACCTCTTTTTCTACAAAATGACCCCTGGCCATAAGGGACACTCTTCTTTTTCAAAGTCTCAATACCTCTATGTTCCCTGTGTTTGTTCCTCATGTACAAGAGCTCATGGAAAAAGCATGAGTTACAAAAGCAAAACCGACCCATTGTAAAATGCAATGGTTCACTGAGTATGCTGCTGAAAATCTGTGGTATTCTGACTGAACAAGAGAGTATTTGTGGTACTCTAAGTCAAGAGAAAAGGTGGAGTACAAATATTTTCATACACACAACAGCAAATATACATTATTTATACAGTGCATCTCAACTCTTCAAGTCACTGCACGTACATTATGCCACTAACGCATACATAAAAGCCTGGTAAGGTCAGCTGGTATGAAATTGTTCTGACATTTCAAATTGAGAGCCTAAGCAGAGAATAACTGCTTGCCTAAAGCCATCCACAGCAGGTGTCTGAAAGAGGAGACATTTGAACCAGGGACTTCAGCTTGCACTTTTTAGCCATTATACAAAACTAGTACAGCTGATTTAAACATACATACATACATATACGACACAGACAATGAATGAGACGGAAATGCTGTCCCCTCCCCAGGGCTCGCTTCTTCTTCTCTTGTTCATCTCTCTCCCACCACAACCTCCTTCTCCTCCATCACCACTGCTGCTGCCTTCTCCACCTCCTCTTCTCCTTCCACCCAACCCCTTTATTTATTAAATCATTTATATCTTACCTTTCTTCATTGTTGAAGGCAGTTTACAATAAAACCAAAGATAAAGAAACAAGCCCCACCCCACCGGTTAAAAATGCCGGCTATTCAACCCCCTAAGGTGCCCTTACATACAGGCAGCCCACGCAGTGCCTTCCGAAGACCTCCAAGGAGGGGCCCCCTCTCACTTCTTCAGGGAGCCCATCCCACAGAGCTGGAGCCATGGTGGGAAAGGCCTGGGGCTCTGGTCTATGCCAGATGGTCCACCTCAAGTGGTGGGACAGCTAACAGATGGCTGCCTTAATGAATGTAGTTGGTGGCACAGGGACATAGGGAAGGAGACCACAGCACTTTCTCAGCTACTCCTTTTTAAAAAGAAAGGCCTAGTTGCAAGGGTCATTTTGTAGAACAAGAGGTGCAGGAGCTCATTAGCATAACCTATTAGCATAACTTATTTGCATATGCCACACCCCGACATCACCGGAAGTGTGTCAGAAGGCAACACCTACCGCTCAGGCTCCACTGGACTGTTTTGGATTGCTAGCTATTGGGGGGGGGGGGACATGCAGATCTGTCCTTGCAGAGGAGAGGGAGCTTGTACCTGAATAAAACTTGGTCTTAAAGGTGTCACTGGACTGTTTTAGACCAGGTGCTGGGGGAAGCTCTGCAACTTGCCTGGCTGCTTCTTGCTCTGACTGAGGGCTGCTGGGAGCAGGGGGTGGGGCTTGTTGCATGTGCCCGCCCCCTGGGCTCTTTACTGCTGGAGTTCCGCTCCTGTGCGCTCCTGCAGCAAATGACCCCTGCCTAGTTGTAAATCTCCTAATTTTAACAGTGATCTTGGCTGGTTTTTTTTTTTAAAGGTGCAGGTACACACATTGCTTCTTCATTTTAATTTAATTTTTAATAACCTCTAAAGTTTTTCTGCAAGCCTGGGCATTCACTCAGGTTTGTAGAAACATCTCCCCTTTCCTTTTTATTCTATACTCTGGAGCCATATTCAGAATTAAACATACAATGTTTAGAATATCAGATTATGTAAGGTTCCTATTTTAAATATCAATGTAAATTATATTTGTAATTGTCTCTTTGTCAAAAGATTTACAAATAGCAGTGCCCCCAAAATGTTACCATGGCCTAAGCTTATACTTCTGAGAAAGATGCTTTCATTCAAAGGTTACATTAAATTACTATATTTATTCTTTTGGGACAGGATTATAATCTTTAATTTGGTCATGGCTAGCCATCATTAGGGAGATGCGGTGGCTCAAGTGGTTAAGATGCTGAACTGCAGGCTGTGGAAGGTCGGTAGTTCAGCAGTTCAAGATCCGGGTGCCGCATGATGGAGTGAGCTCCCGTCTCTAGTTCCAGCTCCTGCCAACCTAGCAGTTTGAAAGCAAGAAATTGCAAGTAGATAAATAGGTACCACTTCAGTGGGAAGGTAACAGCATTCCGTGCGCCTTGGTGTTTAGTCATGCCGGCCACATGACCACGAAAACGTCTTCAGACAGCACTGGCTCTTCGGCTTTGAAACAGAGACGAGCACCGCAACCCTAGAGTCGTACTCGACTGGCTTTTGAGCAAGGGAACCTTTACCTTTACCTAGCCGTTATTAACATTATATCTGTGATACATCAACACCATCTAGTGGTCATTCCTTTCAATTCCAAACAAAACTATTAAAGGTTCAAATCAGTAACTCCCAGCAGAAGAACATTTTCATACTGCAAGACAACAGATCTGAGGAACTCAATGGCTCAGTTCATACAGCATGTAAGATCATGGTTTTGCATTACACAAATGAACACTGGCTGTGATTTCTTTCCTTACCTTTCTTTCCTTTGCCATTACATCTGAAACAGCAAACTATGGTTTACATCTGCCCTCCAAACTAGAACTGAAAACACAGTTTAGGGAGGGGTGGATCAGCATTGTAAACCATATTATGTCACAGAGGCAACAGTATTGGAACAGAATGATAGGTATATATCCATCTCTGCAAATAAGTAGATCAGAATGCATACATTAATCTCTTTGCAACTCACCTGTGGGGTTGTTTTCCTAAATGTATCTGTTCCTTGTATCACATCCTTTATTATTTTTTCCTTGAGAATGCTGTATTCTTCAGAGCTCAGATTAATATTTTCCAAGTATTGATTGCAAGAAGGGCACTGTCCACTGTAATAATAGAACCATAGACATCAGTGGATCTATCAGATGATCATAAAATATCAGTATGTGAAATTTAATTTCAAGAAAAGATACCAAAAAAATTCTACTGAAAGCACTGTCTGCCTGATAGACAAAGTCTCTGAAAGAACAGAATATATAAAATGCAAGTTCTAAGGATTTAAGAATGAACTGGACCATATAAATTCCATTGATTTACTGTTGCTTCCTCTAAATTTCTAAGATTTCAGTCATTCACCAAGGTCAGAAACAACATTCCACTGGCCCTAGTATCTGATTGTGCATTGGTGTTAAAGGGCATTTAGCTATTAAGGAACTGTTCCAGGTTCACTGAACTACAAACGAGAAAAATCTACTTAATTTCCATAATAAAAATTAGAATGATAAAAATGGCAAAAAAAGACTAGGGTGCACAGCAATATACTACACTAGAAAGAAAGAAGAATTTGGCAAATCACATTCATGCTATCTTGAAACACATTTACCAATGCAAACTGTTTGACCTTAAGCTTTTTGCTGAGAAGCAAGCAAAATAAGGTTCAGGGGACTCCTCATCTAGTAAGTGTAAGGATCAGATTAGTGGTGTATCTACTCCAGCATCCTGTCTCACACAGTGGCCAACTGTTCCTCTGGAGGTCCAACAGGGCATATGAGCAAAATGAAGCAAGAGCTTAGTTTCCCTTTACAAAATCAGATCAGACATGCAAATAGGGAGTCCTTAACATTTTACAGCCTGGTGGGAGCTGGTCCATGGGGTCGCGAAGAGTCGGACTCGACTGTGCAACTGAACAACAACAACAACAAACATTTTACATGCTGTGGTTCTATCAGCTTCCAAACATGGTTTTATTCTCCCATACTTCTCACATCTCTCCTTATATATAATTGAATAGTGGGTGCCAAAGTTCTAATTCTAAAATGCACTCCCTTAGTGTATGGCTGATGGCACTGCTCCTCAGCATATATCGCCACCAATCAGAAGGCAAAGCCCGGGTCCCGCCCACACCACAACTGCTGCGACAACCTGGTCTTTTGCATATGGAAGCTGATTGGACTTCACTGCATTCCACACCTCAAACTCCCCCCCCCCCGCAAGGCAGTTGGAATGTCAGTTGCATATGGAACCTGCTGTATTCTGGTGGTGTGCAGGTCCCAGGTTCATGTTTTAAAAGCAGACTGACACTGTTTGCCCAAAGCCAGAGCACTCTCCCAGAGCCTCTTTCTAGCTCCCGTTGTATTTATTTCCACAACGGGCCTTATTTCTAGTCATTCCATAACTGAGGTCTAATTTTCACAAAGAACAGATGTGCTGGTGAACTCCAGTCTTCTTGGATGTTGGTCCTCCTAGTCTTCATTTTCCCTACCCTCCAAAAGGTCAATAATGTTGCCCAACATTAAACAGCTGGGTGGTTTTACAAGCAAAGCCTCAACACTGGTTTAGACCACTTGAATATTGAAAGATGCTTCTATTGATAAACATGCAGAGGTATGTAATAAACAAAGGACACATGATTAGGAGAAGAAAACAAAAGGTAAAAGGAAGTTAATTCTAAGAATAGATACTAGCCATATTACCATAGTCTATAAGTTATTGTGTTTTGAAGACTATATTTTTAAACAAACTACTACAGTCAAGTTATGCATGTTTTATTTATCTCCATTTCTCTGGAATATAACAGCCCAGACGTCTGAAGTCAATGCTGGTAACAAGGGATAACTTGAAAAATGGGTTCCTTTCAGAAATACCACTAGTAAGATGATGCCCTCTAGATAGGTGTCTGATTGGAAATTCATCACCAGTTTGCACCCTGTGTATTATGGATTCTAAATCAGCATGTGTA